TATATATATGTATATATATATGTATATATATGTATATGTATATATATGTATATATATGTATATGTATATATATGTATATGTATATATATGTATATGTATGTATGTATGTATGTATATATGTATATATATATATGTATATATAATTGTCATGATTATTATTACTTGGTTAATGTGTATTAATGTGTATTATAACAATATCAAAGCTGGCACATTGGGGGAAAAGTCTGGAAGAAAAAAGAAAAGGGAAGAGAATATAATAAAATGATAGAACATAATTAGAAAAGCACAACACCTGGAAGAGAAAAATATGCAAAACCACAGATACGCAAATCAACAATCTAGTTAAGACAGTTTACCACATGAAGACTACCTCTAGTATTCAGAAGTCAACACTGCAGGGCACACACTTTTCTAAAGTGGTTATGAAGAAAGCACAAAAGACTGCCATTGTGGGTCAAGTGCATGTTAACATTCGCCACTTTTCCTGCACCTAAACAGCTCCCAAGAGAGGAAATGTTGACACAGTACAAAGCAACAAGCTACTTCCACAAAGAAAAGAAAATGCAGCTACAATAAAGGCAGGAAAGATGCCGGCTGACTCTGTGGGAAGGCAGTCCTCGGAGCTTTTGTTAGCTTAATTTCTGGCTTACAATATTTACCTAGCTGGAAAAGTTGCATTCAAATATACTGTAAAACTGTACATGTAGGATTTATGTGTATTTATGTTTTAAGTCATACATACACGGATTTCAGATTAGCGTGGGAGATTAGAAGTGCCCTTTGTTTAGTTTGTTGGGAGCTAATCACCTAATATTTTATTAATTAAAGACACATTTCATTCATTATTTAATCTCTACAGGTTAACCTGTGATTGGGGGTCTCAAGTAGACTTTATTTCATTTTAAGGAGTCAAAAGTCAAAAAGGTAAGGAAACCCTGGCATATAACCTACAGGATTTCTGCATTTATTACTGAACGTTGTCAGATCTTCATCTAAGTCACAGTTATAGACAAACACAATCAATAATGTACTCAGTGCTTTTATTCTCATATCTTTATTGAGTACACGAGTAATCAATTAAGGTGCAGGGCTAAAAAAAAATATTAAGTGAACCAAAACCCCTGTGCTACAGATTTCTCCAACTGCTGAAGTCAAGTGTCCCAAATGTAAGAGGTGAAACTGGAAGCATGGGCTGGAGGGGCGTCCCTCCCCCTACATGAACGCACACAGAGTATGATTAAATTCAAAGTGCACATCTAACACAACAGCTTTCACAGGTCCTCAGAAGTGACTGGAAAAAGCTTGAAAAGGCCTTTTAAGGGCCTGTGTCGATCAATCCACAGTGACGTGTGCACTCCTTTAAAAAAAAAAAAATTAAAAAGGTGATAAAGAGCAGAACATCTGCACAAACCTCTTGAAGTCTTTGTTTATGTGTGCATTTGAGCTGTCAGTGAAATGAAATGAAAATGATACAAATCGAATCTTTAATTTGTTTAATGTGTTTTTTGTCTGTTTAGCTGTTATTTATTTTTTGGGAAATGAATAAAATTGTAAATATGAGTGTGAAGAGGAAGCGAGCCTCTATAACCTGAGCTGCAGAATGAAAAAAGCAGACCAAAAAAAGAAATTGCGCAATTTTTCCCTGTTACTCCCTTTTTGATTCCATCTTTTTCTTGCAAGCTCAGTCTTGCGCCATGATTTTGAAGCAAAACAAACTAAACACCAGATCCCACTTCAGGTCCTTGAGAGGATATAATATATATTTTTTAAAAACACAATAAAGAAAAACATTGTGCAATGCAATTAAAAAATACTTTATGCAACAATGGAGTGGTACTCCAGATTCCTCCTCCCTGTTGGTGCATTATGTCTACAGTTTTTTTTTTTTCTGCACAAGTTCAGGAGGAAACAGAAAGAGTAGGAGGGTGTGATCCCCCGGTCGCCCTGATTCAATCTCTGTTTCTGCAGGAGGTATTGGGCCTGGGTCCAAACACCAAGCACCAAGCAGAGAAGCTGAGCATTTTCACACGTCAGCGTTCTGCTGCCTTGCACAGCTCCCTGCTCGTTTATCAACAGTCCGTGTGTGGGTGTATTTATAATCCAGTGTCTCCTGTCTGATGTGCACTGATTTGATTTGTGTCCTTTAAACTTCTCATTTTTTCCGCCCACGCGCTTTCTGTCTGAATAGCCATTTAAAATATAAGACCGTGACACGTAACCCTAAAGAGCGCACATGCTCAGAAGCATCCAAGCAAATCAACATTCTGTGTGGCAACTAATATTTTCCAGGCTCTGTCTTTCAAATGCAGTGTCACACAACAAAAAAGAAGTTATTATAATGATTACAGTGTCTCATTCACCCTCCACCTCATTTAGTTTATTTATTCAGTCTTCTCATAAAACACAGACAGTGTCGTCTTCTTCTCTTCTTTCAGCTGCTCCCTTTAGGGTTCATCTGCCTTCATCTCATCGTCTCCCCAGCCTCCTCCTCTGTCACACCAACCCACTGCATGTCCTGCTTCACTACATCCATGAATCTGCTCTAAGGTTTTCCTCTTTTCCTCTATCTCTCCTCTCCAAATGTCCAAACCATCTCAACCTTGCCTCTATAACTCCCACTGACAATCTTAGCATCCAGCTCTTCCACCTTCAGATCCACCTCCCGTCTTATTGTTAGTGCCATCGTCTCCGAACCATACATCACAGCAGGTCTCACTGTCGTCTAATCATCCTTTCATTATTGCTGTTATCCTTCCGTCACAAATCACCCCTAACACTCGTGTCCTCTCGGTCCACCCTCCTGCACCCTCTTCTTCACCTCTGTTGTGCTCTGTCCACTGGTTTGGATGACTGAGCCCAGGTACAGCCTGATATTTCACCTTCACTACCTCTCTTCCTTGCATCTTCACTGTTACACCCATCTTCCTCTCACTGACACACATATTATGTTTTGCTTCTTCACCTTCACTCTCTTCACTTTTTTGTGTATTTCCATCTCTGTCCTTAATCACCCTGACCATCAGTTCAATCTCTCATGAGTCCTTTTCTTCTTCCTTAGTGTCCAGCCTCAAATATAACTCTTTGAAAGCCTTTTTCTTGTCTCTTTGCTGCTATACGCCTAGCCTCCTGGTACCCCTTCCTCCTCTCTTCATCTCTTCGATTATCCCACTTTTTCTTTGCCAACTCCTTCCTTTAAATACTTTCCTGTATTTTCACAACCAAGTCTCTTGCTTTTCTGCCCAGAGGATACAGCAAAAGCCTTCTTGCCAGTTTCCTTCAGCACTTTAACAGTTATCTGTTATCTGCACAACATTCTACTTTTTTCAACCTCCACTATTTAATCCTTGCCTCTGCCTTCACTCGCTTCCTCTTGTTGATTTCCATCCTACAGACTACTATCTGATGCTGTGTAGATACATCCTCCCCAGACTTCTGCAGACCTTCTGCACTGGAGATAGTCAACCTGTCCACCTGTGTATTGTAGAGGCAGCCAATCAGAAGAATGTTGACAGAGGTGCTGAGCCAAGGTCCATTTTAATGATTATGATTATGAAATTATTATTTTGAACAGTTATTCATTCACAACTACCTTATAATACCATACCAACATACTTTATTTATAAAACACTTTTAAAAATACATTGTACAATTCATGTGATATTCAATGTAATAAATTCCAGCATATCAAGCAAGATTTTTCCTTAAGACAAAGAGTTTTATACTATTTTTGAATCTCCTAAAAATGCGGAAAAGAATTCA